TTTTTTATGATAAAGAACATAAGTACAAAATCTCATTGAAATGACTAATAGCTGGTTTTTTGTAATTTTTTTCCAATCTATTTAATGTTCCTCTTTGAAGGATCAGATCAGGAGAATTCTTTCAGCATGGATAGCGAAGAAGAGTAAGTTTGCAAATTAGTCTTTATAAAATCTGTAATTAAATTGTTTGTTTATATATTTATATGTTTTATTAATAAAAATCCAATATGTGTAACATGCAGGTGCATGTAGCCTTCTCAAACCATCGGCTTACATTAATATCCATGTGTTAGAATGACCCAGTCAAACTCCAGGCCAAATCCAATTGTTAATTTGTGGATTAAAAATCTATTATTAAATATTTTCTCCGTATAATCTGACTGATACTAAGTTATTTTGTAAAGAAGAACCTGCAAAAATGTGCTTTTCTATCGATGTAAAGTCGATTGATGCAAATCCCCAAAACTTGCTGTGAATTCAATGGAAAGTGGTTCTGAAAATCACCGATTCAGTAATATTCAGATGTCTATTTGTAACAAAAACTAAAAATCATGCATCATTTTTCTTTCACCTCACAGTTATTCTCTGGTTTGTGTTTGTTGCTGTTCTTCTTTCGGCTTCTCCTTCCAAGCAGTTGCCACAGCACAGCAGCCTCCCCCAATCCACAGCTGCATACAGATGGACTGAGCACAAGTTTTATACCGAATGCCCTTCCTTATGCAAACCTTCCTGTTGTCAGCAACAAGGAGTGGGTTTCAAACGAGGACCAACTTGAAGGGCCACTTGCTGTCGCATCTGAGCCATTGACAACCTCAATAAGGTTTGTGACGTGACAGAAATATGACAATGTTAAAGGACAATTAATGTTGTTAGCAACATACTGTATTCAGTTATTTATTAATGTATTTATTTTTGCTGGGGTAAAAGTTGTGTCTAGCATTTAACTTGACAACATTTTTCATCAGAAATGAACAGCATTTTGAGACAACAGGGGATGTCACCTTTTACTCATGTGAGGGAATTTACAGCGTTATTCCAGGTAGGAGGTCATCATTTACTTTCAGTCTGTCAAGATATTATAATGAGTTAGATGTGTTAAACATCAGCACCTGATTTTAATCACTTTCTTCTCCAAAAAATATTACTTATAGATTGAATAAGTAATTATTACTTGTATTATTACGAAAAATATTAAATTCCATGTATATTAAAATGGCTTTAGCATCACTTGTACAGTCCTTGTGTTCAATATGTTCAATATAAAACATTTTAAAGACATGCATAAATTGCCTTTTAAGCATATCTTAGAAAATAACTGTGAATACAAACGTGCTAAACAAAGAAGCACAGATACATATTGACAGCTTCCTGTTTTTCACCACAGATGATTCATCTGCAGGACCAAGTACTTCACGTGTGCTGTACGCCACTTCTTTCAAAAAAAAGGCATCATGGAAGTCACCAGAACAAGACTTCACCTGAATGTGATGCATAAATCCATTACATGCATGTATTTTGTTCAGTTCACTTTTGTGCTACTCCAGGACAATGCAACAGTGTTGACCTGACAGATTAAGCCACAAGGACAGTGCATTGTTCATACAACTTGAACTTTTCACATTTTGTCACATAATTTCAAATGACTTTGAAAATGCAAAGCAACATTAATATGATATTTGTTTTGTATGCATTACATGGATTTTTTATTGGTTTGTCTCTATCAGTCTTAATTTTGTGCCAGTTCCTTGTAAAATAACTTGAACTCAATCAAGCTTGTTAGTGACTCAAAATTAATTTTCTAGCTGTGACACAGATTCAAAATTAGACTTAGGTCTCCATTTTGACTGGGTCATTTTAATATGTGTTTAATGTCATCCTGATGGAAGGTAAAACTCTATCTAATATCTATTGGAAGCTGCAAAACGAGCCAAGAAGTTAGGGTATTATGTAAGTCAAATCCACTGTGAACTTCTTCTTACACTGAAGTGAAACTACACACATGTGGACTGTGCTTACTCATTACATAACAGGATCAAGTTGGTTGTACTGGTTTTTATTTAGCTGTAACAGAGTGAAGGAGACTGTACACAACGACACACACCAAAAAATATGTCTTTTATCTTCTTGTTCATCAATATACACCACATGTTCTATTGCATAAAATCCCAGTGAAACACAAAGAAGTTTGTTGAAAATTCCAAGTTGTATGAAAACTTTTGTATTACGATGAAAATTCTACGATTTTGTTGTTGTTTTTTGTTGGGGGTTTTTTTGTCTGTTGGAGAGTACTTTATTAAGCATTGTGGGGCTCAACTAGTTGTGTGCTCAATTCATTTAATTTTGCCAATGTGTTTCACTTTTTGCTCTGTAAATACTGAATGCTGATGGCAACACTGTTTTAGTTAGTACACCTATGGCTGCAATGTTCACTATGTCCACTTAATTTATCTAAAGTGAATAATAAAATGTCTATTCAGTTCTTTAAAAAAAAGTACATTTTGGAGCCAACATTGTGAAAATAAATAAATTTACAATCACTAGTGCTGTGAAAAGTTTAAAAGTGAGAAAAAGAAAACTGGGGAATTGCATTTTTCAAGACTCACCAGTAGATGTCGCTATTGACCTGAACTCTTAAATGACTTTCAATGAAATGCTTTAATAATTATGATTTATGTAATTCCCTCTTGAGACAAATGGCATTTATTGCTGGTTGTTGCATACTTTGCTTTATCACAGCCACAGATTTGTAATCTTGCACCTAATATGTCACAGTGCAGAATGACTTACGAGAAGTGCTTAATTCCCTTAAAGATTTAAGTGAAACAAGATATTTATATCATTCATAATATTCAGTCAACATCAGGTCAGTTTAAATGAAGGAAATACATAAACCTAGATCCAGAGTGAATTAAAGTAAATCATGATAACCAACACAGAACCTTTTCATTTTTTCTTTGTTTGATTAGTTTTTCCTTTCAAGCATTTTTCAAGACAAAGCAATCTGAAAGTCGTGACAAATGAAAATGTAATCACTGCAACAACAAACAGGAAGAACAGG